AGTTTCGTCCCACCCACCTTTGGATGGTCCTTCTACAGCTTGGGTTTTCCCACTCTTCCCATATCTCCTATCCTGTTTCCTGTCTCAGGTATGCCTACAGGGGTCCAAGTGCCATATATGGTTCCTGGGCCACATGTTGGTACTGGGGTTCTCCAAGAATCTAAATTCTCATGGAGATTTCGGCAACAAGATCTCCTTGCCATAGTTCCCAGTTTTGTCCCACCCACATTTGGATGGTCATTCCACAGCTTGGGTTTTCCCACTCTTCCCATATCTCCTATCCTGTTTCCTGTCTCAGGTATGCCTACAAGGGTCCAAGTGCCATATATGGTTCCTGGGCCACATGTTGGCACTGGGGTTCTCCAAGAATCTAAATTCTCATTGAGATTTCGACAACGAGATCTCCTTGCAACAGTTCCCAGTTTTGTTCCACCCACCTTTGGATGGTCCTTCTACAGTTTGGGTTTTCCCACTCTTCCCATATCTCCTATCCTGAATCTAAATTCTCATGGAGATTTCGGCAACGAGATCTCCTTGCCACAGTTCCCAGTTTCGTCGCGCCCACCTTCGGATGATCCTTCTACAGCTTGGGTTTTCCCACTCTTCCCATATCTCCTATTCTGTTTCCTGTCTCAGTTATGCCTACAGGGGCCCAAGTGCCATATATTGTTCCTGGTCCACATGTTGGTACTGGGGTTCTCCAAGAATCTAAATTCTCATGGAGATTTCGGCAACAAGATCTCCTTGCCATAGTTCCCAGTTTTGTCCCACCCACATTTGGATGGTCCTTCCACAGCTTGGGTTTTCCCACTCTTCCCATACCTCCTATCCTGTTTCCTGTCTCAAGTATGCCTACAAGGGTCCAAGTGCCATATATGGTTCCTGGGCCACATGTTGGTACTGGGGTTCTCCAGGAATCTAAAGTCTCATGGAGATTTCGGCAACAAGATCTGCTTGCCACAGTTCCCACCCACCTTTGGATGGTCCTTCTACAGCTTAAGTTTTCCCACTCTTCCCACTCCTCCTAGCCTGTGTCCTGCCTCAGGTACAACCCAAGAAAAATAAAAGTAGCGAATTTATTTCAAAACCCAAAATCCATTACACGTATATCCTTTCTCCCAAACAGTGATTACTTTTGGAGAGAAATCTGCTTCCCCCCCCCCCACTCCTACATCATTACCATTTTTCCATATTTAATGTCTAATTTTAATATTTATATTTTAAGAAGGTCTCGTGGTGCCAAGTTGCGCGGGTTCAGCTCCTGCCAATACTTGTTAACGGACCCACCAGCGTCTCCTGGCACGCGCGCCATCCAGTTGGCAGGAGGGTGCGGTGATTACGGTGGGGTGTGGATTGTCAAGCCATGGACTCTGGCACATTAAGATGCCCAGATTGTTGTGGCAGAGGAGAAATAAACAAAAATCTCACGCTCTCCTTGTTTCGTTGAGACGCCATCAAACGAGGCGGGGGGGCTGTTTTCCTTGTGTCGCTGCGTAAAAAGAAAAAGACATATTTTTTTTTTCATTCCTCAGAACGTTCGCCGGCTTCTCGCGTACGAGGACGATTCCTTCGATTCCCCTCCGCCTCCCCCAGTCGAGTTTATTTAGAATAGGGAATGGGGCATTAGTCTCTTCCGCGCCCCGCCATGACAGACGGTAATTTAGCGCTTTATTGTGATTCAGTACCTTGGACAGCGGCACATATTAGCTGTCATGCTGTGTTCATCACACACTGTACGGTCACCGCCGTCGCCTGTCAAAGCCCTCCGCCGCCGTAATCAACACAGCCGAAAGAATCACATGAATGGAAGGGGATGAGTGTGCAACTTTATTTATTCCCCGCGCACGCACACGCTCAGCACATTCGTGTAGATACGCATTAAAGAACCGAAATACATTCATTTTCATACGTTGTCGCTGTTTGTGGCTTTGTTTCCTCTGATTTCATTGCACATTGTGAGCTTCTCATAGCCGACGTCAGAAGTCAGAGAAAGTCGAGATGCCCAGGATTAGTTAGCCAAGGGGTCTCCAAAGTTTCTAAATAAAGGGTCAGTTTACTGTCCTTCAGACTTTAGGTTCCAATATTAGTGGGAGAAAGAAATGCCCCATCTTTGGTGTCATTGGAAGAAACTGTGCCCTTTGATAACGTGCTCCTGCACGAAAAGCATTTAGGGAGGAGCCAGGGTGGGGAAGTCACGCCGCACAGGCCACGGGTCAGGCCGGCGGCCATCTTTTCTGCTGTTTTACCACACTGAGTGCTTTGACATCTGCATCTACTTTTCCTTGGCAATCAATTATTAATAAAATACTACACTATTAGCAATTTCTGTTTGGGCTCATTTGATTGCGAGCCCCCCCCCCCCCCCCCTTAAGGTGGATTCTTGTCCTGCTCTGTATCTGCCATTGAGAGTGATCCCCCCCCGGTGGTTATACATGACACCGTTACCTGGAGAGTGACCCCCCTGGTGGTTATACATGATACCTGTTACCTGGAGAGTCACCCCCCTTGCTGGTTATACATGATACCCGTTACCTGGAGAGTGACCCCCCCGGTGATTATACATGATACCTGGAGAGTGACCCCCCCCCCCCTGGTGGTTATACATGATACCTGATCCCTGGAGAGTGACCCCCCCCCGGTGGTTATACATGATACCTGTCACCTGGAGAGTGACCCCCCCGGTGATTATACATGATACCTGGAGAGTGACCCCCCCCCCCCCCCCTGGTGGTTATACATGATACCTGTTCCCTGGAGAGTGACCCCCCTGGTGGTTATACATGATACCCGTCACCTGGAGAGTGACCCCCATGGTGGTTATACATGATACCCGTTACCTGGAGAGTGACCCCCCTGGTGGTTATACATGATACCTGTCACCTGGAGAGTGACCCCCATGGTGGTTATACATGATACCTGATCCCTGGAGAGTGACCCCCTGGTGGTTAAGATACCTGTTACCTGGACAGTGACCCCCATGGTGGTTATACATGATACCCGTTACCTGAAGAATGACCCCCATGGTGGTTATACATGATATCGGTTACCTGGAGAGTGACCCCCCCCGGTGGTTATACATGATACCCCTGGAACCCCCCTGGTGGTTATACATGATACCCGTTACCTGGAGAGTCACCCCCCTTGCTGGTTATACATGATACCCATTACCTGGAGAGTGACCCCCCCCGGTGGTTATACATGATACCTGTTACCTGGAGAGTGACCCCCCCTGGTGGTTATACATGATACCCGTTACCTGGAGAGTGATCCCCCTGGTGGTTATACATGATACCTGATCCCTGGAGAGTGACCCCCCTGGTGGTTATACATGATACCTGTTACCTGGAGAGTACCCCCCCCCATGATACCTGTTACCTGGAGAGTGACCCCCCTGGTGGTTATACATGATACCTGTTACCTGGAAAGTGATCCCCCTGGTGGTTATACATGATACCTGTTACCTGGAGAGTGACCCCCATGGTGGTTATACATGATACCTGGAGAGTGACCCCCCCCCTGGTGGTTATACATGATACCTGATCCCTGGAGAATGACCCCCATGGTGGTTATACATGATACCGGTTACCTGGTGAGTGACCCCCCCCCGGTGGTTATACATGATACCCGTTACCTGGAGAGTGACCCCCCTGGTGGTTATACATGATACCTGTTACCTGGAGAGTGACCCCCCTGGTGGTTATACATGATACCTGTCCCTGGAGAGTGACCCCCATGGTGGTTATACATGATACCTGTTACCTGGAGAGTGACCCCCCTGGTGGTTATACATGATACCTGATCCCTGGAGAGTGACCCCCCCCTGGTGGTTATACATGATACCTGATCCCTGGAGAATGACCCCCCTGGTGGTTATACATGATACCTGATCCCTGGAGAGTGACCCCCATGGTGGTTATACATGATACCTGTTACCTGGAGAGTGACCCCCATGGTGGTTATACATGATACCTGTTACCTGGAGAGTGACCCCCATGGTGGTTATACATGATACCTGTTACCTGGAGAGTGACCCCCTTGGTGGTTATACATGATACCTGTTACCGGGAGAGTCACCCCCCTGGTGGTTATACATGACACGGCCGATGACAGATCTGAGTATCAGCCCCCATTGCTGGTACCATGTGACCTGCTGTGACCAATCACAGCAGGTCACATGACAGTTGTATACAATGGATGGCTTCATTCATGCCATCCATTGTATACTAGTGTCTAGCTGTGAATGGTCACAGCAGGTCACATGCACATGTCATGTGATTAGCTGTGGCCAAATCACAACTAAGCACAAAAAAAAAAAACTCTGAATGAATCGATGTAATTCAGGTAAATGCTTGCTTATAGCAAAGTAATTCTTTGCTATAAGCAAATTGTGTAAAAAAAACAAAAATAAATTTAAAAAAATAAAAAAATACTGATCACTTCCCCAAAGTAGTACAATGTTACTATGGTAACATTGTACTACTTTATTCATAGGGAAATATAAAAAACAAATCTTAAAAAAAAAAAAAAAAAAAATAATAAAAAATAATTAAAAAAAATATTTTTTTTTTTTTCATACTGTCACCAGTCAGTGTCCCTGATCATCGCCATGCCAGTTATAGGATGACGCTGTACTGCACTGGTGACAGTATGTAAAAAAAAAATAGTGAAACTAATTTTTTTTAATTTTTTAATTTTCCGAAAAATTATGACATAAAAAATACAACTTCAAAAAACTTGCCATGCCTCTTAGGAAGTACGTCGGACTGTCTACTTTGCAAAAAGTGGTCATTTGGGGGATATCTGTCCTGTCCTGACATTTGGGGGATATCTGTACCGTCCTGACATTTGGGGGATATCTGTACTGTCCTGACATTTGGGGGGTATCTGTACTGTCCTGACATTTGGGGGATATCTGTCCGTCCTGACATTTGGGGGATATCTGTACATTTGGGGGATATCTGTACTGTCCTGACATTTGGGGGATATCTGTACTGTCCTGACATTTGGGGGGTATCTGTACTGTGCTGACATTTGGGGGGTATCTGTCCTGTCCTGACATTTGGGGGGATATCTGTACTGTCCTGACATTTGGGGGGTATCTGTCCTGTCCTGACATTTGGGGGATATCTGTACTGTCCTGACATTTGGGGGATATCTGTACTGTTCTGACATTTGGGGGATATTTGTCCTGTTCTGACATTTGGGGGGATATCTGTACTGTTCTGACATTTGGGGGATATCTGTACTGTTCCTGACATTTGGGGGATATCTGTCCTGTCCTGACATTTGGGGGATATCTGTCCTGTTCTGACATTTGGGGGATATCTGTCCTGTTCTGACATTTGGGGGATATCTGTACTGTTCTGACATTTGGGGGGGATATCTGTACTGTCCTGACATTTGGGGGATATCTGTACTGTTCTGACATTTGGGGGATATCTGTCCTGTTCTGACATTTGGGGATATTTGTCCTGTTCTGACATTTGGGGGATATCTGTACTGTCTGACATTTGGGGGATATCTGTACTGTTCTGACATTTGGGGGATATCTGTACTGTCCTGACATTTGGGGGATATCTGTACTGTTCTGATACATTTGGGGGGATATCTGTACTGTTCTGACATTTGGGGATATCTGTACTGTCCTGACATTTGGGGGATATCTGTACTGTTCTGACATTTGGGGGATATCTGTACTGTCCTGACATTCTTGGACCTCAAGAAATTAGATTGGCTGTCAGTACTTCAGGATTGATCAATATTCAGATATATCCCATAGTTTGTGAACTCTGTAACTTTCCTCCAGACTAAATAATACATCCTAATTTGGGTTATTTTCACCAAAGACATGTAGCAGAATACATCTCGGCCTAAATTTATGAAGAACAATTATTTATTTGCAAACTTTTATAACAGAAACAAAGAAAAACATGTTTTTTTTTTAATTTTTGGTCTTTTTTTGTTAATTTAGCAAAAAATAAAAACCCCGGCGGTGATTAAATACCACCAAAAGAAAGCTCTAGTTGTGTGAAGAAAATGATAAAATTTTAGTTTGGATACAATGTTGTATGACCGCGCAATTGTCATTCAAAGTGTGAGAGCGCTGAAACCTAAAAACTGGCCTGGGCAGGAAGGGGTAAAATTGAATTGAATTGGTTAATAATCCTGGGAAAACGGCCTCTCCAACGACTCACCCCAGAAACCTTCACTTTGAACAGGTGAGAATCCCTAAGTACCCCAGAGTGCTTCTTTTGTTGTCCCCCTATAAAGGGACCACAACTCAAACAATGGTGACACATATCTACCATCCAGAACTCATCCCTGGCACCCTGGACAGTGTATATTCAGGATTTACATGACCGTGTCATCATCAAACCAGCATTTCAATCCAGGATGTACATGGTGAACTTACATGATGACCAAACAAAGATGGTGCCGCCTTGCTGTAGGAAAAAGCAGACATATTATTTAGAGTGCTGCACTTATCGTGAAAAAATATATCTGAAGCTAGGTCCACCATAGGGTCAGTTTTTAGAGTCGGTTTCAAGTAATCCAGCTTTTCCCTTTCCGAGCAATAGTCCTAGCACTAGGCCTCTTCTGTAACTCTAAACTGGTAACCTGTAGAAATTTTTAAAGCGTTGCCTATGTTGATTTTTAAGTACCGTAGTAATGACGCCATCGCACAAGCGTGCGCAATTTTAAAGGATGATATGTTAGGACGATGTTAGGTATCTAGTTACTCGGGGTAGCATTGTCTTTCATATTTTACAAAAAAAAAAAATCGGGGTATATATTGTGTTTTGTTTTTTCTCAATTCATTAAAATTAATTTTTTCCAAAATAATTGCGTTTAAAGAAACGCTGTGCCAAAACCGCAGGATGTAAAAAAATTAAATGACCGGCATTTTATTCTCTGGGGCCTTTCCAAAAAAAAAATAAAAAAATAAAAAAAATTATGTATACAGGTGAAACGTGAAAAATTAGAATATGGTGTAAAAGTTCATTTATTTCAGTGCAGCAACTTAAAAGGTGACACTAATATATGAGACTCATTACATGCAAAGCAAGATAGTTCAAGCCGTGATTTGTCATCATTGTGATGATTATGGCTTACAGCTCATGAAAACCCCAAATCCACAATCTCAGAAAATGAGAATATTACATGCAATCAATAAAACACGGATTGTACATAGAACAATATCGGACCTCTGAAAAGTAGAAGCATGCATATGTACTCACTCAGTACTTGGTTTGGGCCCCTTTTGCAGCAATTACTGCCTCAATGCGGCGTGGCATGGAAGCTATCAGCCTGTGGCTCTGCTGAGGTGTTATGGAAGACCAGGATGCTTCAATAGCGGCCTTCAGCTCTTCTGCATTGTTCGGTCTCATGTCTCTCATCTTTCTCTTGGCAATGCCCCATAGATTCTCTATGGGGTTCAGGTCAGGCGAGTTTGCTGGCCAATCAAGCACAGTAATCCCACGGTCATTGAACCAGGTTTTGGTGCTTTTGGCAGTGTGGGAGGTGCCAAGTCCTGCTGGAAAATGAAGTCAGCATCCCCATAAAGCTTGTCTGTGGAAGGAAGCATGAAGTGCTCCAAAATCTCCTGGTAGACAGCTGCGTTGACCCTGGACTTAATGAAGCACAGTGGACCAACACCAGCAGATGACATGGCTCCCCAAATCAACACAGACTGTGGAAACTTCACACTGGACTTCAAGCATCTTGCAGTGTGTGCCTCTCCATTCTTCCTCCATACTCTGGGTCCTTGTGCCTCTCCATTCTTCCTCCATACTCGGGGTCCTTGGGCCTCTCCATTCTTCCTCCAAACTCGGGGTCCTTGGGCCTCTCCATTCTTCCTCCATACTCGGGGTCCTTGGGCCTCTCCATTCTTCCTCCATACTCGGGGTCCTTGGGCCTCTCCATTCTTCCTCCATACTCGGGGTGTCCTTGGACCTCTCCATTCTTCCTCCATACTCGGGGTCCTTGGGCCTCTCCATTCTTCCTCCATACTCGGGGTCCTTGGGCCTCTCCATTCTTCCTCCATACTCTGGGTCCTTGGTTTCCAAATGAGATGCAAAAGTTGCACTCTCATCAGAAAAGAGGACTTTGGACCACTGAGCAGCAGGCCAGGTCTGATTTTCTTTAGCCCAGGTAAGACGCTTCTGTTCATTTCTGTTCATCTGTTCGCTTCTGTTGTTCAGGAGTGGCTTGACAAGAGGAATACGACATTTGAAGCCCATGTCCAGGATCCTTCTGTGTGTGGTGGCTCTTGATGCACTGACTCCAGCCTCAGTCCACTCCTTGTGAAAGTCCCCAACACTTTTGAATGGCCTTTTCTTGACAATCCTCTCCAGGCTGCGGTCATCCCTGCTGCTTGTGCACCTTTTTCTTCCACACTTTTCCCTTCCACATAACTTTCTATTAATGTGCTTTCATACAGCACTTTGGGAACATCCAACTTCTTTAGAAATTACCTTTTGAGGCTTTCCCTCCTTATGGAGGGTGTCAGTGATGGTGTCAGGTCAGCAGTCTTTCCCATGATTGTGATTCCTACTGAACCAGACTGAGAGACCGTATAAAGGCTCAGGAACCCTTTGCAGGTGTTATAGCTTAATTATCTGATTAGAGTGGGACACTTTGAGCCGAGAATATTCCACCTTTTCACAATATTCTCATTTTCTGAGATTGTGGATTTTGGGTTTTCATGAGCTGTAAGCCATAATCATCACAATGATGACAAATCACGGCTTGAACTATCTTGCTTTGCATGTAATGAGTCTATTTCGTATATTACTTTCACCTTTTAAGTTGCTGCACTGAAATAAATGAACTTTTGCACCATATTCTAATTTTTTGAGTTTCACCTGTATATATATATATATATAACATTTATAGGTAAAGTTGATCCAGTGAATATCCGATTGCCTCTCGGGGGATCAGGAAGGAATTTTTTCCCCTGCAGGAGCGCATTGGATCATGCTTTGCTGGGTTTTTTGCCTTTCTCTGGATCAACTGGTATAGGGCTATAACATTTATGTATGTATGTATTTATGTCTTATGGTTGAACTAGATGGACTTTTGTCTTTTTTTGCCACAAGACTAACTATATGTAACTGACAAGCTGCAGGCTTGTGAATCAGCGGTGATAATGCTGAAAGCCACACCCCCTGTAACATTTTCTCATCTTACTGTAGTGCAAGCAGGCAGTCTAGATCAGAGTGGCAACTCTGCTCTGAATTCAGTAGCAGTGCAGCCTTGTTGCCAATGCCACCCCATCACCGGAAGCTCCATTAGGCAGGATCTACAGGTATTTGTGGGACTTTACCTGGGGGATAATAGGACACTGTCAGTGAAGGTACACTTACAACTAAGTTTTGTAATATTCTTCTTTAGCTAAGAGTTGACCGGAAAGGCAAAAAACTCCTGGGTGTTTCCTTGGCTCACAAAAAGCTAACTCAAGATAGGCAAAACATTGGTTACCTGAATTTTGAAATGATGTGCTAAATTAATCATTTGGTTTAATTTCAAAGCAAATGTGCATTTTGCCCACTCAGGCAAAAGAAACAGCTTCAGTTTGGAGTAAGGAGCACGGATACCTTCTGCTTGACCCTTGCAGTTCTTCCAGGTATGGTGTGAAGAAACATCACCAGCACACCTCAGATCAGGTTCCAAAGCTTTATCTTGTGGTCACGTGGTACACTCAAAGGCAACATTTTGGAGCCGTGCAGGGCGCCTTTGTCAGGCAAGTGACTGATGAAGGGGCCCTGCGTGGCTCCAAGATGTTGCCTTTGTGTGTCCCATGTGACCACGAAATAAAGCTTTGGACCTGTTTTGAGGAATCCCTAGTTTGCTAGTTATATTTCTTCACATTGAGTGTCCTATGGTTCCCAGCCTGTGGTCACTGCAGCACCCACCAATACTGAATAGCCATCTTTAGGAACATGTACATTGGGAATATTGCAATTGGACTTCCAGGTATGGTAGTACATGTGTTTTCTCCCTACAATGCAGCACTGATGTCTACATGTCCAGTCTCCAAGCTTGGAGGATGTCTTCTGAGGGTGGAGGGCCCTGTGTAAGCTCTGACCCTGTGTTGAGATGAAACTTGCAGAGCCACATTGTGGAGGGCTCCAACAAGGCGATGGACAGTGAAGGAGAG